CCCAGTCACCTGGTGCCACAAGATGGTGATCTGTCCGAAGAATTCGGGTAAACCAACCGGGTGACCTCCAACCGCTTAACCGACATGCAACGCGGGAGACACGCCACACTCAGTCTCCCTTCCACCAGGCCCGCAAAGTGCAACCCCACACAAGGAAATCTATTTTTGAGGCGTGGAATGGCTACCATAGCATCGCTCTTGCTGAAGAGGATAGACATTTGATGACGTTTGTCACCCCATTGGGTCGCTGCCACTATCTCGTGACCCCTCAAGGCTATATATCGTCCGGGGATGGATACAGCCGTCGCTTCGATGAGAAAACGTTGCCGACTTCCCCAACAAAACCAAATGCATTGACGACACCCTTATATGGTCAAGTTCCGTTGAGGAAGCCTTTTTCCAGGCCGTCAAGTGGTTTGACTTATGTGGTACCAATGGCATCACACTCAACCCATCTAAATTCCAATTCGCCAAAACTGCGGTCGAGTTATCAGGTTTCGAAATAACTCCCTTCACCGTGCGCCCATGTGCCCGCTACCTGGAGGCCATTTGACTTTTCCCCACACCTCGGAACATCACCGACATCATGAGCTGGTTCGGTCTCATCAATCAGGTATCCTATGCCTTCTCTTCCGCTGAACGCATGCTCCCATTCCGGGAAGCCCTGAAGCCGGGAAAACGCTTCGAATGGACAGAGGAGCTGGACGGTCTGTTTGAATGATCAAAGGCGGCCATCATCAATGAAATCCATCAAGGGGTTGAAATATTTGACAAGAAGAAACCAACTTGCATAGCCACCGACTGGAGCAAGGATGGCATAGGCTTCTGGCTGTTTCAGAAACAATGCACATGTCCTTCGGAAAAACCATTTTGCTGCAAACTGGGTGGAAGATTGCCCTGGTCAGGAGCTGATTCACACCAGGAGCCGAGTCCCGCTATGCACCCACAGAAGCTGAAGCCCTGGCTGTGGTTGATGCATTAGACAAAGCACGCAATTTCACCTTGGGTTGTTCCGACCTGATCGTGGCAGTGGACCACAAACCTCTTGTGAACAGGAATATCATTCAGTAGCGACAAGACTACATGTATGTGCCATCATTCGTATCTGTTCTTTGTGTCCATTATTATTCTTTCCCTTATTTGTCAGTCATATTCATCCGCTTTATTTCTGTTCTGTTTCTGTTCCAGTCACGCGTCGTCTGACGTATTTCTTCATTGTGCTTGATCATTAAACTCCTCATCAAGTCACAAAGAGTTTTGGCATTTATTTAGAAGTGTCGCTCGTTCTCACAGTGGTGACGACCCAAGTTTTACCATGGCACTCGGTCTTCCTCGTCTTACACGTTTCTTTTTTATTTTACCCTTGCATAAAATCAGGCGGAAAAACAACAACAACAAAAACCCTAAAACCGCCCCGCCCCGCCCCCTCAACAACAAAAAGCAACAATCTTTCTAGAGGAAGCAAAAACCCATTTTAATTAGCCTTGCGGCAGTCTTAACCTTGAGCACTACTACCTTCGGTTGGGACCTCAGAAGGGAATACACAAATGTAGTTGTTTTTTTTTCTTTCGTTTTTATCAGTCCATGCCCGTGATGGTCACCTGTCTTATACAGCTACTTTTTTCTTTGACGATGGGTGGCCGTCTTACTCAGGTTCGACTGTGCTTGCATTACTTTTCAGTCTCAGTTAACGTTAAATTTTAATCTCTCCTTAAAATAACACGTTTTGGCGGCCACATTGAATTGCTTATGTTCATATGAATCGACTCATTGTTGAGATCACAAAAATGTATAGGCCTACTTTATGTAGGCTACTTTTAAAGTCACAATTGATTTTTAAACTTAATTTTTTCTTTAGAAATTACATATTTCGTTGGCCGTTTTGGTGGACGTCTTCCTTCATGTGATGATATAATGTTATCAGTCGGTTTCAATGTAAATATATCTTGACAAGACAAATCAGAAAATGTATAGTTTTATGTACAAGTACAAAGGAGCGCGCATGGTCTAGAGGTATGGTGTTCACCTCTCATTCAAATATCTCGACAGCGACGGAAACGTTTTCTCCTTTAAAATGTTCTCTTTTCCTCTTTGCTGTACATGTTCTATCATCTGCTTTCACACTCTTCCCCCCCCCCCCCCCCCCCCCTCTCTCTCTTTCTCTCTCTCTCTCTCTCTCTCTCTCTCTCTCTAACAATGTTCTGTCGTCTGCTATCGTCTCCACTTTTTGCCCCCACCCCCTTCCTTCCCTCACCCCCCCCCCCCCCACTCCTGACTCTTTCTCCTGCTTCACTTGGCTTCTTCTTACTGCTGTCTTTCAGCCATACCCCTATTCTTAGGGGAGATAAAATCGAACACTTAGCCTTCTGGGATAAGAGCGAAAATTTTAAGAGTTTTCGTTTGCAAGTTGTGCACGATAAAGGTCCCTTGGTGGTCCCAAAATCGATGAGAGTAGTCTTTGACTGTCACCCGTGCAAAATTCAAAATAATGGCTGCCTTAAGGCAAGGGGTACTTCTAAGTTGGAAAATTGGTCATACCGACACCAGTTGAGCTAAAAGTTGAAGAACAAGCAGAAGAACACCTTGCAGTCGACTACCCCTGTGATCTAGCAAGGGAAAGCAACGAAGACAGAGGAAGACATGATCTCCAGGCAATAGTTTTTTTGACAATTTTCACCCTCATACATTTAATCTTGGATTGCCTTGATGCTACCATAATTTGTGCCATTACATGTCTATTTATATTCCCTATTTTCATTCGCGAAACAAAAGTGAAAACTCAAATTACCATTGAGCTTAAACGAATGGTCTGATTTACAAGCATTCTGTTGTAATCATGAGATCAAACGGCGCCACAATCACTTTTTTAAATGTTAGATTTACCTTACTGATGAAATTTTGGTCTGGACACCCTACACTTAGAGTAGGGGAATCAGAAGAAATGGACAACAGTATTTCTTAAAAAATCAAGGTTTTGTGTGACATGACTTCTGAGTGAGTGCGATAATTGACTCATTTTGTCAAGTGGTGTTGCCGCACAATTATGAATGTTACTGCAATAAATAAATACTGAAAGTGTTTACTGTTGTCCGTTTTGTTGTTGTTTTTTTCTGTTACATTTAAAATAAATATATGTATAATTTGTATTTGTTATGACATGGGTGTTATTATTTAATTTTAATTTGGTCTGTCAATATATTTTCTTCATTCTTCTACTTCGCATGTCTATTATAACCAAACCTGTTTCATGAGTTTATTTCAAATTTTAATATGATAACGAGCACAGGTGACCAAGCTATTTGACTCATCAAATAAGATAAAGCTGATAAGTGATCATTATAAGCAAGCCGCTCATCTGTTTCTTTCTTACGTAGACAGTGAAGATAACAATTTTTCAGGGTCTGAATCTTTCCTGATGACAATAAAAGTCTTCCCAATCTATGTCAATCTAAAGCAGCAACAGTGAAGTGCTGTAGATCAGGGTTCGACCTATTGAGCGTTTCCATCTAGTTTAGTATAATGCCCTTCTGCTTATTTATTATATAAGGTCCTGCCAAATTGACTTTATTGTGACGATCTTATAATGGGCTACATTGTTTTATTCACTGCGAAAAGACACTTTCTGAGGTAAAAATATTCAAACTGTTGCTTATAACTCCTCATAGCAGTGATACAAAAAAGTTTCAAAAATTTATGTCATATATGACAGGAAATATCAGGAGAATGACATTACCTATTTACAAATGGCTTGATACTACACTACAATAGTCAGATTCATTTTGAAGTCCTTTTTGTCTGATTTTCTCTGGATCAGATGAAGACAGAAGGAAAAAAATAGCGCTAACGTAATATTCTCTTTTTTTTTCTTGTGTTCATCTGTTCTCATAATAAGTATCTAGTACTACTTGCCTGTGCTAGAAATGTATCCTAATATTTCAAATTGTATTCAATCTGAACATTTTGTAGGTAGTACATGCTTGTAGCTCTCGAAAAGTATCTCTTTATTCATGATGAAAATGCATTTTTTTAAAATAGTTTTTTTTTTTTGTTGGTAAGTGTTTTATGGTGGTGATAACTGCATAAGGTCACATGAGTGCGTGGGACACATTAAACATTCTCAGTCGGTAGGAAATTTTGAATTTGCCCGGGTGGCGGCCGAAGCCTACTCTTATCGATTTTGGACCTCCCAAGGGATTTTTAACATGCGCAACTTGCTCATGGGACGTCCGAGATTTTTCGCCCTTGTCCGAGAAGGCTAGGTGTAGATCTTTCCTACCAGAAGATCAGGGGTGTGGCTGAAAGACAGCAGTAAGAGGGCGCCAGGGAAAATCAATAGAAGGGCTGCAGAAAGAGTCAGGGGCCCAGAGGAGGGGGCGAAGGAGGTGGGGGGGGGGGGGCAGAGTGGAGACGAAAGCAGACGACAGAACATATCGCTAGAGAACAGGGAAGGAGGTGAAAGGAGACAATTTACAGAAGGAACATTTCCGTCGCTATACGGGCTCAAACCCGGGACCTATTAAATGAGAGGCGAACTCTTTAACCTCTTGGCCACGAGAGCCCCCTGAAAATGCATTGTAAATTTATTATCAAGTAAACTTTTAGTGGAAGAACAGTGAATAGGCCTATAACTTGTTAAATCGTTCTTTTCCCTTCCTGATGCGATATGATTATATATGGGCCAAATTGTTTTATTGGCTCCCCTTTTCTGTCAATATCAGCATCATCATAAATAGACACATCATTGCCATTGTATTGTGTGAATATAATATGACTTGCTCCTAATTTGGCCCTATTATTAATATTTTTCCAAAATGTTAGATTTATTCAAAAGTTTAAAAAAGTCGTTTCTTTAAAATTCCTGCTCCTGACTGACGCCATCAACTTGACTTAGGATTGCTATTTTTTATGTGTGCTGTATCTCGTCTGCCGGTTCTGTCAGGCAAGTTGATACTGATAACACAGCATCTGTAACTCTGGTCCCCATCATTTTCTTTTTGTCAGATCGTAGTACAACCATCGGCACTATGATTGACAGTTACCTGAAGCAATCGGTGGAGCTAGACGACCACACGATCCATCTGCTCTTTTCTGCCAATAGATGGGAAGTTTTGTAAGTCTTGTGCCTTTTTTATTTTGGTGTGTATGATGATGCATTTAATAATGATAATAAAATAATGGATTGCATTTATATAGCGCGTATCCACTTATGCAATGCTCTATGCGCTTAACATGATACATATTATGGATTTGCAAATCAATTTTATAGGTAGGCTACATAGTGTTACATACTCGTGCACACACATTTACACGCACGCACGCACCACACACACACACACACACACACACACACACACACACACACACATACACACTTACGTATATACGCACATGCAAACTCACAACGATCTACAGCTTGGATGGATTCTGTCTAATCGAAATATGGTGAAAATAGAAATGCTTTTAGTTTCTTCTTAAAAATTTCTAGATTTTCTGCTTCTGTGATAGTTTTTGGAAGCCTATTCCAAACAAATGGGGCAAAATATGAAAAAGAGCGTTGGCCATATGATTTGTAATTTATTTTAGGCTTAACAAGGGTTGTTTTGTCACTTGATGATCTGAGCGTTCTAGGAGGCACATAGGGTGTTAAAAACTGTTTTAGATAATCCGGTGATAAATCATTTTAGCATTTGTAGCAAGTTAAACAGATTTTATATATATGATACGCTCTTTCTCCCGGAGCCAGTGCAATTCTTTTAAAATAGGAGTCACATGATCATGCTTTAGTTTCTTAGTAATTATTTTGGCAGCAATATTTTGTACTCTTTGTAGTTGTTGTAACTGTTCATCAGGTACACCAGCCAGTAAGGAACTGCAATTTATTAATCCTTGACAATATAAGTGATGTTTTGGTGACACCAACAGATATATATTTTCTAATGCTCCCTATTTTCTTCAGTTGGAGATATAGATTTTTACAAAGATTGGATACATGGTATTTCATTGACATATCTTGATCTAGCACCACACCTAAATTTGTTATTTTAGTTTGGGCTGATAATTCTCTGTTTCAGCATTTTTTAGCTTCTATTCTTTAAATTCAACTGTTCAATTTCGTGTTCGCACAACATGCACACACCACACACACACACACACACACGCACACGCACATACCTACGCACACGTACGTACACACACACTCTCACACACACACACACACACACACACACACAGGGGGCTCTCGTGGCCCAGAGGTTAAGGTGTTCGCCTCTCATTCAAAGGACCCGGGTTTGAGTCCGGGTAGTGACGGAAACATTTTCTTCTCTAAAATTGTCTCCTTTCACCAAAGATTCTCCACTACCAAGATATTAAACTTGCTCTTTGGGCTTTTGTCCGCCCTATGGCAGGGCCCGCTTTGCTGTATAGCGTGTGATTGGCTACGTCACTAGGCGATGCGAGGTTGTTGTTGTTGTGTGTGTGTGTGTGTGTGTGTGTGTGTGTGTGTATACTGAACGCCAATAAAGACGCAACGTTTTCAAAAAGTTGTTTAAAAAAGCCAAATATGCTCTTATCGTCACGATTTTTGGAGACACGTATGAGCAGTTGTTAGTGCTCACAGCCATGCACAATTTTTGCTATTTCCATGGGCACTTTTCATCACAATACAGTAAACTGCATTAGCAAAATGTGTTCATTAGTTGCTATTTTATAAAAGAGTTCAAAATTATTTGCCTGGAAAATAACCCGTAGCTCTTTCCGAACAAAAGTCCTATCTTTTTTTTTTTCGATTAATTAAAAAAATTTATTTCATTGCAAGTCTCCTCAGCTTTGCGAAGCTGATCGCAACTTTTGCTTCCGCCTTGTCCATGGCGGAAAATCTTTCTGAGAAGCAGCAATGCGGCTAAAATGCAGTGCTTGTATTGTTCTCGACTTATACAAAGATTTTAGCACTCTTGAAATGTCCGAGATGGGCAAAGGATAGGACAGTCTCGAGTGGCCAGCCCTGTTCAAGAGAGGCAGATTTTGCTGTCGCATCTGCCAAATCGTTTCGTTTCTCAAAAGTAACGGCTCAAGGCATGCTTAATAGAGTGCGTGAAAATGTTACTCTCATCCGTCTGAAGCGCGGAGCAGTACGTACAGGACTTCGATCAAGAACGCCTTATTTAGGGCTGCAATTACCGGTAACGAAGCCACGACTACAGCGACGTCTTCACGGTGCGAAACAGCACATGGAAAAAATCAAATCTCTCAGTCATCCAACACGACACTCCTGCCCTTACACTGCCCATTTAACAATGAGAGGTGAGCAGAGTAAGTCTGATTCCTTGTAAGGACTTCTCTGTTGACATCCTCCCCTTGGCGCTCATATGACCTTATGCAGTTGCAAGCGCCGTAAAACCTCTACTAAAACTTAAACTAAAACTAGCAGTTGCGAGCGCCGTAAAAACCTTACTAAAAGTAAAACTTAATCTAGCGGCGAGCAAGTTTCTGATCGTCTGTTTATCCTCCAATTTGTCGACTGGACTTTGTTGTGTGTTATTTTCGTTCCATATATTTATGTAATAATAATATATATTATTGTTGATGGCGCAAGTGAACTCCCTTTTTTGCGCTGGTGTAGGGCTTGATTTGTAGTAGATTTACATTTTTTTTTCAGGTAGTAATTTTTTTCCGGAAATATTGCTTTACATCCTGAACAAACAAAACCAGTTTCTGGAAGATCATAACCTGAATGTCATGGACTGGTCAGTTTATGCACCCGACATGTCTCCAACTGCGCATATAAAGGATGAACTGAACTGCAAAGTGTGTGCCGTTTTGCGAATCTGCAGCTATTCTACTATTGGGAGATCGCACTACTGCGAAAGTGGGAGGGAATTTCTCAACAAAACATTGACAATGTTATAAAATCTATCTGAAGAAATGTTTTGGTCTGTATACATGTTAAAGATGGCCATACAATTTACTAAGGGTTAGAGATCTTTATTGAGGTTCAGTATGTGTTTATCTGCAAATTTGTACTATGGGGGTACTCCGAGAGAAGGAAGACAATGTATCAAAATCAGATTAAGTGTGTGATCAAATTGATTCATATATTTGTTGAATATTTAATTCACTTTAAAGAAAAACACTTCTTTTAATCTATTCTTTTAACTCACACGTGTTCAGACTCTGCGAACGATGTGTTGCGTTTTTAATGGCGTTCAGTATAATATATATATATATATATATCCAATGAGCAATTCTTCTGAAAACTTGAACTTGCCCATACTCTTTACCACAGACACCATAAAAAGCTGTATTTATTTCTAATCATAGTTAAGATGAGCTGTGCCGGTGGTGAAAAGGTTGCCGAACCTGGACTAGGCAGAAAATATCCAATGAAACGATATGCTGAAACAGTGTGGAGCTTTTTTGTTAAAAATTCAGCATTTTTTAAATATGAAAACGTAAAATTCACCTGAGACAGTTTTCATCCTAAGATTTCTCTAAGAATTGTCAGCATCTCATTTTCGTATTTAGGGTTCAATACTGATCTTAAGTAGAACTTTCAGGGTAACCGACAAATATAATATAACGGCCCATTTCTTCAAACAAAGGACATAAAATTCGGTCTTAAATTAAACGCTACACGTCTCGTCCGTTAAATGGTCAAAAACAGTAACCGTATCTTCAGTTGAATTGATCTTTTAAAAGGTGTAATTTTTCACTGTAGAATTAGAAATACGATGACTTTAGTCATTTCATCAACCAAGAACAAAATTACTACAGCGATTACGAATTTTTGGCGGTAAATAGTTGCGTCTGTGAATTGATGTCACGGAAATTGGACAAAGTGTTTGATTTCGTCATTGTATTAATTTAGACTTGGTCTTTGTGTTTTATCCTTATAGAATGAGTAGCTACTTTAAGAATTTTATTTTAAGGCTTTCATTCGTTGATGCCACATATTTCTAGCTTTGGGGTTGGCAGTTGAGGCAATTGAAGTTGACAACTTGTTATCGTTATCTGAAACATGACAAATACAAGGATAAGGCTGCTTGGCTCGGTGTTTCGAATATAATTTTGAAGATCGAGCTTCATTGATTAAACTTTGCTGATAGACTCTGTCAAGGAAATAAAAAGTATATTTTGGGTATTATCACACTGTAGGCTTGGTGGTGCAAAATGGGGCGTAAACACCAGGAACAAGACAAAGAGGGCGATGAAAGCGATGCGACGTTGTATGGGATTTTCCATGTAAATTTTAGTTTCAGTTTATAATGAACAACAACAAAAAAGATTGGCGCCGTTTCTACTGATTGACGAGATAACTACAAAGAGGAAAGAAAGAAAGGACTAGGCGAACCCGATTAATTAAATGCGTCTTTAGTTTGGGGAAATTCACCACTTGAAGAGAAATTTACCAGATGACGAAAGCAGATGGACAAATTCAGTTTGAATGAGTCGTGATTCCTTTTTCTATCCGCATGAAATGTTCATGGTTAGACTCACCTGAAGGACTACTAACTTCAGACATCCTATCTCGACGATTGAGAAAGAAAGAATGAAAGACAGAGGTAATGTTATGGAGAACCTATGGACAAGTAGATCTTGGTCAAAAAGTTAATTGAAAGAAAAGAGGCCAATTCTATAATGTCTTTCTTTGAATAAAGTGAATGCATTGTGTGCTTTGCTTTTATTTTTCATTGTGGTTTTGACAAACAGTTTTAACTAACTCTCCTCGTTGTCCTTTCTTGTTATCACCACTGAAATTATGTAGATCTACAATAGTCAAGCATGCTGCCAGTAATGTGCTCGTGTGCACGCATGTATGTACATTTGAAACGATGAAAGCGATTGTACATCGGCCGAAATTTCTCCTGGCATCTCCTCGCTTCGGGCCGTTCTTGGTATGGCTGGTAACGTCCGTCTTTCCCGTTGGTTTTATTTTGATTGCCCCCGCCCGTGCTGCTTCGCTTTGTCCACAGTGTAGCTTTGCCTTTGGTTTTCATCAAAAGTTTATTTTGGCTTTAACAAGAGGAAAGTAAGTTTATACATTGGTCTTATGGTTACATGGACTAAATCATTTTGACCAAAGTTTTGGTAACAAGTGTTGCCCCAATAATATTT